ACGTCTGGAGCCGAGGTATTGAATTGCACTGATATGTGCAGTATTTTTTGATGCAAGGCCTTTCAGAATCTATAATGCAGGGGTACAACTTTTCTACTTCTGTGATTTTCTGTTGTGCATAAATGCACATTACAGCTTTCATTGGTTTATTTCAAATTTGAAACATTGTCTAAGCCTGTAAGGTAAAAAAATAAAAAATGAACCAATTAATCGAATCGAATCGTATCGTGGTGTATTCTTGAGTATCTAAAATAATCAAATTGTTGGGTCAGGAAATCGATACAGAATCGAATCACCATGATGGGTGTGATTTACACCCCTAGTTGTCAATGGGTTTGGACATTAATGACTGTGATGGCAGAGACTTTAACATAGTTCTACAAGCTGTCCAGGGACCACTTCACTTTGTGTCAGATAAAATTTTTTGTCCCATAAAAAAGACAGAGCAAAATTTGTGGAAAAATCTGGGGGGTGTATTCACTTGTATGCTTTCTGTGTGTGGACATCAGGGGGCCTGGAGGCTGAGGTTGGAGAACGAGGAAAGTTCTTCTCAGCAGGACAGAGGCAGCTGCTGTGTTTAGCCAGAGCTCTGTTAACTCAGGCCAAGGTGAGTCTCTCATCAACTCATTTAACAGTAAACACAACACATGCAGCATCTGCTCAACATCTGCCGCATGCTGCTTCCCATCGCGTTCATTTTCAAAAAACCTAAGAGAACCCATACGGGATCATTAATATTGGTGATGGAACGTTTCTGTTCATGCAGTGTGTTTTCTGTCAGCCTTTGTTCAATGGCAGATGCAATGAAGAGACTGGCTTTACTTAATTTGATGTGATGAGTGGGAATAAAAGGATACATCATGTTTTCAAGTGAGAAAATGCCCCTCTAAATAACATCCTCCAACACTCTTTCATTCTGCTGCTGTTTTTAGTGGTAGGAATTAATTATAAATTGTTTTCAAGGTGGTAAAAATCTCCAAGTAAAAATATATATATTTTTTGTTGGCAAGTTTTAACATTTTAATTTAATGTAGGAATTAATTAGGCCTGAGCAAGTAAAGTAAATGTATTTGGAATGTTTATCATTATTCCATCAAATTAATTGCGTTCTTTTTTTGTTGTTGTTCTGGGAATTCCACCAAATAATTTAAGTAAAGAAGAGCAATACTCATTTGGTATCCTTGTTCTCGTAGCCAAAAAAATGATAACAATATGTTGGTATAAATCCTCACCCCCTACTGTAAATCAATGGAAAGAGAAACTAGTGAATGTTTATATGAGGGAGAAAATAACAGCAAAATTAAACTTGTCCACTGGTCTATTTGAGAAAAGATGGAACCCTTTGAAGACATATTTCCAGTTAATATGGTAGTAAGATCAGCATAAACACACATCTCTGTTAAATAAAAGTCACTCGAGTAAGATCTTTCCTTTGTCTCACCCTCCAAGTAAAAAAATAAATAAATAAAAAAATATATAATAATGATAAAGAAGAAAAAGAAAAAGGAAAAAAAAAACATGGATCTTCAGCTCGCCGACCTGTTTG